TGTGTGTGTGTGTGTGTTTGTTTTGGCCCCATCAAAACTATGTGACACAGCAACCTTGTGGTTTGCTTGAAGCACAAAGAGGATGTGTAAGTTAATTCAGTTTGTTTTATGACTGATAGACTCCATGTTTTCACTGTGGCTGAGGAGAAGGCAGCTTCTACCACAGHTACVWTCARCAATGCTATGGCTAACTCCTGAATCTCTGCAGGGCGTGTCTCTACAGAGGTCCTTTTTATACTGAGCACAGTACTGTGACACGTCACACAGTACAGCACATCACAAGGTACTTCAAACGTGGTTGTCTTTTTTAAACCCCTAGATGGCAGTACCAAGCCGTTTTTAACCAAGTACTGACGATTTAAACTATTTTAGGCGAAAATGTTAAATTTAGGTCAAAAATAGCAAGGTATGACCTTTAAGACACAATTTGGACAGTTTATTTGTTAAAAAAAAGTTGATTTTGGGGTAAGTTACACTTTAAGAAATGAGTCTGTGAACGTGGAGCGCTCTGATCAAAATATTGAATTACTTCAAACCCGAGTACTACCTTGAAAATGTTAATGCACAACAACTTCTGTTAAGGCAGCAACTTAGGATGAGTTTTTGCTCTGAAGAGCAACACAAAGCTAGTTGCTCACAGCCAACATTTATTTTTGCTAGAGTTCAGCTCTCAATATAGAGCAGCTGCTTGATGACTCATTCTGATGAGGATGGAGCTAAAGCCTGCAAAAACATCTTGCATCTCTAAAAATACACATTTTAGCTTCAACTACGAAGACTGTAGAACTCATGCATAAATTCAAAGATTTACAAAAAAATGCAGCTTCTGACTGGAAAACAAAACTTTTAAACTAAGTAAAAACTAGATGAGACTGGCAGCACTGGAACAATTAACATGCAAAATGTACCTCAGAGAGCTTAACTAAAAGCTTGCGCAGCTAATTGACATAAAGCATCAAGAAGACAAAAAAATAATTAAAATATGCACGTGAAAAATTTGCCAAATCTTTTTTTTCTAAACAAATTTTTTTGCTGCTATTGACACTTGTTTTAAACTCCTAGAACCCCCAGGTGCTGCCGATCAGCTGCCCATAAGATTYATTGTCAAGAAGCCTTATTACTTACTACTTCTTCTTTTTTTATTTATTTATTTTTTTTTTTTGTTCTGCTCTCGGAGGAGTAAGACGCTTTTTCCTGCTCTCCTGCCCTTCCTTATCTTCCCTGCTTCGCTGCTTGGAGCCTTCTCTACATTTTTCATCCGAAACCAGAAATTATGGTTATTTTTATGGATTTGGTTAGCTGGTCTCTCAATACAACTTTTGGAACAGTCTTTTCTTCTTCCATGGGAGGACATGTCAAAGATGGGACCTCTGTTCTTCTCTGTTCTGGTTGTTGTGGTGGATGTAACAGGTCTCTCTTGTAAATGAGACAATGAGTTTCAAGAGATCTTCCTGTATAAATAAAGGATAAATAAATAAAACATATCTGGACTCCAATCACTGGATTCTGCAGATTGGCCTGGTGGTCTTCTGGTGTTCTACAAAACAATGTCGGTGGCTTTTCATTTCCTGGCTGCCTGACCAATTTGATGGATGGGCGTATTCTATCAACACTCGGACATTTGCCTTGAGCGAGCTGGACTCGGTCTGCAAGCGGTTCTATTGAGGGTCGCGGGCCGGCTGTGGTCCCCGGTCTTTGCTGGCCAGATGGAATTGATTTTGGAGAAGCTGATCGATTGGCTCAGCGGAATTTGTCCACATTTTATTTGTCTGATTTGATTCGCCACCTTTGAGATGCACCAGCAGACATTGAAGCAGATGGAAAATTGTTGTCGTCTGCCTGTCTCTTCTGTTCCCAAAACAACTGATTACAGGATCTGGCTCTCCCCGACAACGACCTTGATCTGCTAACTAAATTCTTCCTGGTTGGATATGTCGACAAGGCTCAGCCCCCACACGTCCCCCTGTCCTCTCTCACCCATTTGATTCTGGTCTCCTGAGCAGGCTGGGGGTTCACAGAATGAACAGTACCATCAATATTCTGAACTTTGGCTGCGCTTGTTTAGAGGACTGGATTTTTCGGGGGCCCCCCTAAATTCACAAACTCCTCTGGCTAATAAATCTGCCCTACGCAGAGGTTGTTTTTTTTTTTCATAAACACCATAGTGTGTCACAGTGTTGATATAATATGATGTTTTTGTTTTTATCCTCATCTTCCATTGTGTGGTTTTTCTGTTGTTTTTTTTTTTCATAAACACCATAGTGTGTCACAGTGTTGATATAATATGATGTTTTTGTTTTTATCCTCATCTTCCATTGTGTGGTTTTTCTGTTGTTTTTTTTTT